TAAAAAGTCGAAGGGGAAAGAACAAAAAAATAAATAATAATAAAAATAATAAAAAAAAATAATAATAAATAAAGGCTTACCAAAAAAGAAAAAACCAAATATTCTTTTATGAAAAAGCTAAGCTTTGATGGAAAAAACAAACAATTCAAAAGAAAAAAGAAAAATAGAGGCCTAACATGCACGAAAAAACACAAAATATTCTTTTATGAAAAAAAAAAAAACTTGACGGAAAGCCAAACAAAATTCGAAAAAAAAAAACATACCCAAACCAAACCAAAACCTCCATCCAACCACACACACACACAAACAAACAAGCAAACACCCCCCCCACACACACACACAGGCCTCCGCTGCCAGGGACACCCACCCACCATGCAATAAGATCCCTCCACTTGTTTACTCCGAGGAATCTATCAGTGTGTTTGTCTTCCTGCAGGAGCTCGCGGATGAAGACGTATTGGCGGTCAACTTAATTTAGATCCGATGTCAGCGAGTAATTCGGGGAGCTGGTTGCGAGTGGGTGCGGGTGAGGTGGGTGAGAGTTGCGAGTGGGTGCAGGCGGGTGGGTGAGAGTTGCGAGTGGGTGCGGGTGAGGTGGGTGAGAGTTGCGAGTGGGTGCAGGCGGGTGGGTGAGAGTTGCGAGTGGTGCGGGTGAGTGGGTGGGTTGAGAGTTGCGAGTGGGTGCGAGGTGGGTGAGAGTTGCGAGTGGTGCGGGTGAGGTGGGTGAGAGTTGCGAGTGGGTGCGGGTGAGCGAGTGGGTGCGGGTGAGCGAGTGGAGGTGGGTGCAGGCGGTGGCTGAGTTGGGTGCAAGGTGGTGGGTGAGGCATACAAGCAGTGGGTGGAGTCGCAATGACGCGGGTGAGTAATGGTGTAAGTTGGCTGTTGGTGGATGGGTGAATGTGAGTAGATGGTTCCCGGTGGATGAGTGAGTGAGTGAGTAATTCGGTGAGTTGGTTGCAAGTGTGGATGAGATGCAAACGGTGAGTTGGTTGCAAGTGTGTGGATGAGATGCAAACGGTGAGTTGCAAGTGCATGGGTGAGTAATGACGTTAGGATGTTTGTGGATGAGTGAACTGGTTACAAGTGTGCGGGTGAATAATACCCTGAGTAAGTGGCCGGTGGATGAGTGATTCAGTGATTCAGTTGATGAGAGATGCGTGAGTAATGCCGTGAGTTAATTGCTAGTATATGAATCTATAAGCAAGTGATTTTTTTTTTTTTTGCAAATGATACATGAGTAACGACAATGCGTCGGTTACAAGCCGTATGGTTGAGCCGGTGAGTCACTTGCACGTGTATCAGCTGAGTAAAAAGCACGTGTATCAGGTGAGTAAAAAGCACGTGTATCAGGTGAGTAGCACGTGTAAGTAAAAAGCACGTGTATCAGCTGAGTAAAACACGTGTATCAGGTGGAGTAAAAAGCACGTGTATCAGCTGAGTAAAAAGCACGTGTATCAGGTGAGTCAAAAGCACGTGTATCAGGTGAGTAAAAAGCACGTGTATCAGCTGAGTAAAAAGCACGTGTATCAGCTGAGTAAAAAGCACGTGTATCAGCTGAGTAAAAAGCACGTGTATCAGCTGAGTAAAAAGGTGAGTAAGTTACCAAAGAATCAGACATAAAAAAACGTTTGAGCTCCAAGCCGTGAGCGAAGGCGTCACCGAGCCTTACGCTTCGCTAATACGCTAACAACCACCTTACTCAACCAGCTACAACGAACCACTCTCTACACCGAACCACTCTCCAATTCTTCTTCCTTTTTATTCAAGGACACATATCGACCTTTGATAACGCAGCCTCGCATATATCGCAGAATCAAATAAG